CCGAGATGTTCCTGGGCCAGGCCTGCGCGAGGGGTGAGTCGCGCAGGGCCAGCAGGGCCGTCTTCGTGTACATAGTCCAAAAGGGAGTCCGTGGCATAGAGGAGGGGGTGGTGTTTGATCCCCTTAGGTCTTTCAAACATAAGGCCAAACGGAGAAACCAGCCAGGCTGCAAGATGTAATCCGCGGGTCTTCCAACCGGTTCTTGGAAAACCCAGCAGAGTTATACTGGATCAATAATAGGATCTGTCCAAAGTCAGGAGGAGTTTACTTTAGTCCCCTGGACTGCAAGGCAATCAAACCGGTCAGTCTTAGAGGAGATCAACCCTGACTGTTCTTTAGAAGGACAGATCCTGAAGTTGAAAGTCAAGTATTTTGGCCACCGAATGAGAAGGAAGGACTCACTGGAGAAAGGCCTAATGCTGGGAAAGTTTGAGGGCAATAGAAGAAGGGGACGACAGAGAATGAGGTGGCTGAATGGAGTCACTGAAGTAGTAGGTGTGAGCTTAAATGGACTCCAGAAGATGGTAGAGGACAGGAAGGCCTGGAGAAACGTCCATGAGATCACGATGGGTCGGACATAACTTCGCAACTAACAACAACAACAACATAGGTAGCTTGGGATACTATATACTTAAGGTGACCAACTTTTTTACAATAAGATGGAGGACACAAATAAGTTGAAGAAAAAAAAGTGAGTCTAATGTGTGCGTGTGTGCCATGTCATGTTTCAGTAAGAAGTAAACAAAGCCACTTGCATGTGGCACACTCTTGCGCGCAGCGCACTCTCTCAAAACAATTCTCCTGTGCGGAGTGCATGCGTCTCATAATCGTGTCTTGCCGCACTGTACCGAGCCTTGACGAATCGTCATGTCAAATACAAATACGTCACATCACACGGAACAGATCGGCTCAGCATCGATCGAATACGGAGATTTACAGATTAGTCTTCAAATATCAAAAAGGAGGACATGTAGGAGGACATCTTTCAAGAAAGGACAGAACTTACAAAAGGAGGACTGTCCTCCCTAAAGGAGGACGGTTGGTCACCTTAATATACTCGCAAACTGAACATGCCTTCACCCCTAGATTCTTACCTGATTTGGGGTAAGTACAAAGAAGTATGTCATCTGGCTTGGCTTGGAAGCACTGGATACTATCCCATTCATTACAAGTGCTTTTTGGTAAGGGAATCCCTTCCACCTCGCCTAGCCTAGGACGGGTCTCTGGCGTGTGTTCTTTTCCTTGCTCCATGGATGTTAGCTATAACATATGGACAAGACAGGCAAAAAAATATGAGGAAAAGAAAAAATTCTTTCAAACATTCTCTAATGGATCCTTTGTAAGCAGGGTATTGGACAAGATCACCTCCAAGATCCCTTCAAACTGTATGATTTGGTCAGTGGTGGGATTCAAATATGTGAACAACCGGTTCTCTGTGTGGATGCCGCTTCCAGAAGTCCATTCTGGGCCTGGGCGACAAAAAAATTAGCTACCGGTTCTGCCGAAGTGGTGCGAACCGGCTGAATCCCACCACTGGATTTGATGTTATTGGGAAAACTACATTACTAGTAAAAATCTTGATTTAACAGACTTCAAGTTAACGGGTTTCAGTTCTAAGGGAACATTTTTCTTTGCATTTAGCAATCATCCCTATTTGGTGGACAAAGCCCACTAAATTCAATTCAGCCTAGATTATTTATAATTTATTTAACTATGTAGTGCTATTATGTAAACGGATAAACTTAGGAAAACAACATACATTTGGATTTAATAGCTACTCCATTTTTCCTTCATTCTGTAATTTTACTACATTTTTCCTCCGGTCATAAAGGAAGACATTGTGTGTACTCAAAGCAGTTTGTCTTCAGTTTGTTATGCTTTCAAAGTTTCAGAATAGCCAGCTTTATGCAATTCAGAGCTACGATGCTAGCCAAGGTTTCAAAACTACAGGTGCTTTGTTTGTATTAGAAGAGTTTTTTTCTGACTTCTGCATCCCTTTGGGGGCAAATTGTCTTAAATTCAGGGTATTGTGGTCTATTTTTAAGATGAATGTAATCACCATCATACCTACTCTCTTCTACTCTTTCATTTCCTTTTAAAATAAAACGATTGGCTGCTAGAACTGCTAGAACTGTCAGTCACAGCCTAGTACACAAGCTCCTCCTCCCAGTGATTTTGGAAGTGGGGGGGGGGGAGAAACTGAGAGGAAAGGGGTTTGGGAAGAAGGTCTGGAGTCCCAGGCCTAAGACCTCCATCTCTGAAGCCAGATGCCGGATTCTCTTTGGGTTCTTATGTCTATAATCCTCACTTAACATCCACAATTGGCATCTATTGCCTATTTCTCCATGGATTCTGCTTGTAAGAAACCAGCTGTGCTCAAATAGTGAACCCGTGACTCCGTGATGCAGCAGTGATGGTCATACGTGCAAGGACTGGTCATAAAGTTACTTTTTTCAGCAGTGTTGTAACACTTTGAATGACTGCTAAACAGGACAGTCATTAAGCGAGGATTGCCTATAGCAGTGTTTCTCAACCTTGACAATTTTAAGGCATGTGGACTTCAACTCCCAGAATTCCACAGCCAGCAATGCTGGCTGTGGAATTCTGGGAGTTGAAGTCCGCATGCCTTAAAATTGTCAAGGTTGAGAAACACTGGCCTATAGTGTCCTCTGGGTTTTCTCCACCTTGCGAAACTGGCAAAAGGATGATAATGTGCCACTTTTAGCCTGCTTTTAAGGGATTGGAACGTTAGGGGGTGGAAGTGGCATCGACTTGATTTTGAAATGAATGAAATGCCTTTTAGGCGCAGCAGTTGTGAAACTGTTAATTTGCAAAGAATGCAAATTGCTTGCAAATAACTTTCGGAGTAATTTGCAAATTGAACTTGCTTGCAAATAACTTTCCTTACACATACCAGCTAACCTCGCATGTGTTGTGACTCACCCAATGTTTAACGTGGAAAAAAGTCTCCTTAGCATTTTGAAAGTCTCTCAAGACATTGAGCAAAAGTCTGAATCTCAAATCTCAAATATTTACCCGTGTTGCATGACTGTAGTATTATTATCTTATCTTTTTTACTGTCCCCACTTATTGGTGTTATTTTAATTATTATTATTATTATTATTATTATTATTATTATTATTATTATTATTATTATTATTATTATTATTATTATTATTATTATTATTATTATTATTATTATTATTACCCTGTTGCTTTGCACGTAGAGAGCTTCTGCACCGGAGACAAATTCCTTGTGTGTCTAATTATATTCAGTCCATATTCTAATTCTAATGCTAAATTTTTTCTCCACCCTGTTGGGGAATGTTTAATCTCCCAAAGTCAATAACTTTCAAGATACTCATGTACTTTTTAATCTCACATGTACATACGCATATTTCTACCTTTGTTTCCTTTGCTATTTTATCTCAAACACACCTTGTTATTGACTCTTTCTCCTTGTGAATAAATAATTATTTCTTTAGAGGTTTAGAAAGTCCCCTCTCCCACCTAGGTCACATTTAATTTATTGGCAATTTTAGTTTGGTTGAGTATGTTTTAGTATAATTGTTGACTGAACAGCATAGGCCAATCTTCCATTTAGGAGAGCTGGGTTAGTCCAGTGTTGCAAAAATAAAAATAAAAACTCAGAAAGAGCTTAGTAGCACATTTTCCAGCTAACCTATTTTTTTTTATTAAAAAGCACTTCTATGAACAGAATGGGTCCCTTGTTCTACTGGCATTTTCAAATATCATTCCACAGAGGTTATACCAAGGATGGGCAAATTTTGGATCCAGGATCAATCAACCTTGACTCCTGACTTCCGGTGAGCAGGCGACCTCGTCGGATGCAGCTGTAGCTGCCTCCCGCCTGTTTCGCGTAAAAGCCGTTTTGACAGCGAGCACTAGCTGTCAAACGGCTTGATACCTTTCCCCCGGGCATAAGGGGATCGGTGAGCTGCCCGGGGTAGGAGTTGAGTTCCCGAGTCGTCCGATCTGGACGATGTAGGTTAGAACTCCTCCGGAGCCCCGAGGATTCTCCGCGATCC